TTCTTGACTATAGTAGCGACGAAAACCCCTATAAAAATGACACAAATGCAAATTACACAAAAACTGAAACTGAGGATCAAGCTGAAACATCACGAAAGCGTGATTTTAATGACTATAAAGATGGTCAACTATTTTTTGATGAATACTTATATAAAAATTCGTATACACCTCGCAAAGGGGGAGGATGGAGTAAAATACCTCAATCTTACATACCAAAATATTCCACCACTAGTTTTAACAGTCCTGATATATTAGATCTTGATTGTTGCGTCAATCCATTAAAAGAATTAGAAGACTGGAAAAATCGAACAGGATTACTAATACAAACTAATGAAGATCTAAAGAAATTACATCCTAATGAAATGTTTAATTTCTTAATATATAAAACAACTGGGGCAGTTTATCATTATCTTAACAACATGGATATTCCTACTAAGACAATGTTATATGGAACAACGGCTGCGACGAATACCTTTGAAAAAGTCTTAAATGCAATAACTCATGAATTCTTAGGGCGACATCCTCGAGAAGATAAACCAAACACAACCATAAGTCAACAAGCTATTTGGCATTTAACTAATATTAGAATCTGCAACATGTGCTTCTTAGAACCATTTATTTGTGAATTCATAACACACTATTATCAAGTCACCCCTTCAATAAGAAAAGAGCTAGATAAATTACTCTGCTAAATTACCACCTAATGTCTCTGAAAAAGTCGAAGCTATCTTTAATGAATCTTTGACAAAAGAAGAAATACCAGATACATTAGTAGGACGAATATTAGTTTTACAAGAATGGCATAAACGAGCTTGTAATAAGGAAAAACTAAAGAAACAAGATAAAATTAAACTCTGTTGTGAAGAAACAATGGATAGAGTTGGAAAGTATGGGTGTAATGATGATCGTAAGATCATTAAAACTCGAAAAAATATAGAAATTATAAAAAATGGAGAAAAATACCTTATAAAGAATATAGAAAAAATAGGTTTAGAAAACCAAATAAATATTTCAGAAATAGAAAACAGTTTAAACAAAAATCAAGCCAAAAAGAATACTGTCCTAAGGGAAAAACAAATTGTAGATGTTGGTTATGTAACGAAGAAGGACATTACGCAAATAAATGTCCTAAAAAAAATACTAACACTAGAAAACAAGAAGTCCTTAGATTAGCTTACGATTGTGGTTTTGAACCAATCGAAGAAACAGATTTTGAACTTTCCGATATATAAATTATTGAATATATTTCAACCTCAGAAACCTCTTCAGATGAGTTAGAAGAAGGTATTAACTAAGGGCAATCCTAACGCAACATTTATTAAAATAGAGAAGAAAAACTTCTTAGCATACATTGATACAGGGGCAACCTTATGTTTTGCCAAAAAATCAACCATAAAAAAATGGGATAAACTTGAAAAACCTTTAAAAATTATAGTGGCAGACAAATCTATCCATGAAATCTGGTATGTAAAACAATATGTACCAATAATCATTGAAAAACATATCTTCACAGCTAAAACAATCTATCAACATGACTCAGGACTAGATATAATAATAGGAAATAACTTTCTAAAATTATATCAACCATTTATCCAAAGGATTAAAACAATTAGCCTTAGATGTCCTAAAACAATAGACCATGAATCTAAGATAATCACAACCAGAATAATCACAAAAAATGAAGTGCTAAAAATTGTACTTCAAAACCTCAAAAATAGATTAGAATATATACAGATTACCTATAGCATTCTAGAGGATACTTTAGACCAGGTGTGTAGTGAACATCCTTTAGATAAAGATAAAAATACCAATCAAGAACTTATCGAAATTAAACTAAAAGATCCTAAAATGGAAGTTAATGTCCCTAACAAAATTAAATATACTCAACGAGATGTAGAAGAATTCCAAAAGGAATGTTCAGAGTTAGCTGAAAAAGGTATAATACGAGAAAGTAAAAGTCCTCACAGTGCACCAGCCTTTTATGTAGAAAATAATAATGAAATCAAAAGAGGAAAAAGAAGAATGGTAATAAACTATAAAAAACTAAACGAACAAACAAACAATAGGAGATAGCTATAAACTACCTAGGAAAGACTATATATTAGAAAGATTAAAAGGTCAAACGTGGTTTAGTAGTTTAGATGCTAAATCTGGATATTGGCAACTTCGTCTACATGAGAATACCAAACCTTTAACAGCCTTTTCATGTCCACCACAAAAACATTACGAATGGAATGTTCTCCCATTTGGAATGAAACAAGCACCAGCTATTTACCAACGGTTTATGGATCATGTCTTAGAGGGTTTTCAATCGTTCTGTTTAGCATACATTGATGATATTATTATTTTCACAAATCAATCAGAAGATCATCGTGAAAAAAATCTTGATAGTTTTACAGAGAATAAAAGAGAAAGGTCTAATTATCTCTAAAAAGAAATCGAAACTTCTTCAAAAAGAAATTGAATATCTTGGTATGAAGATTAATAATTTTGGCGAAATTGAGTTGTCACCAAACACTAAAGAAAAAATCGATAAATTCCCAAACCAACTTGAAAATAGAAAACAAATTCAACATTTTCTTGGATGCTTAAATTATATCAGTGAACAAGAATTTTTAAAAGATTTAGCAAAAGAGAGAAAACATTTACAGAAAAAGATATCTGACAAAATCCCTTGGTCATGGAATGATCAAGATAAAAAAATAGTTTTATTAATGAAGGAAAAATGTCAGCATTTACCAAAATTATATAACCCTTGTGAAAACGATTTTCTAATATTTCAAACGGATGCCTCTAAGGACACTTGGGCAGGGTGTATGTTAGCAATACAAAATGGCAAAGAATTATTACAAATGGACAATTTTGGTAATGTCAAAATAGACAATAATGAGGCTACTGTCTCTAGCCAAAAGCCTAAAGATTATCAGTCTTCGGACAATATTATTGAACTTTCAAGTTCTCAATCATCAGTTCCTTTCAACAGTGATAAATATTCTAAGAAATTATGTAAATATATTTCTGGAACATTTACCGCCACTGAACAGAACTATCCGATCCACGAATTAGAGACACTAGCCTGTCTCAGAACATTGAAAAAATGGAAGCTTGAATTATTATCTACAAGGTTTGAACTTCAAACCGACTCTAAATATGTAACAGGTTTTTGGAGGTACAAGCTTCAGGCAGATTTCAACAAAGGAAGATTAATCATGTGGCAGCAACAACTCCATTATTACAATCCTTATCTGAAGTATATCAAGTCCAGCAACAATCCATTCACAGACACACTGACTCGAGAATGGAAGGATTCATAAAAATCCTCATCAATCAACTAAAGCAGAAGCAGGAAAAGAGTGCAGCACTGGAACAACAACTTCTCCTTTGTAGGGGGAGGAAGAAGCAATAATTCAATCAATCGACGTCATTCAGCAACAGTTAAAAATCAACTACATCAACGTCAGTACATTAACAACTAGCTCCACTAGTGGAAAGCCATCAACACTTACCACAGAACCTGCTGAAAAAGAAAAGTCGACAGCAACACAATCATCCACCACTACCAGCAATAATATACAAAAGACGACACGATGGGCAGACATCGTTGAACAAGAAGAAAAAGAAACAAAAGATTCCCACTATGAAGAAGACGACAGAAAAGGCAGCAAATGGTATGTCATATTTAATGGACCATAGCGAGGAGTATATCATAACTGGGCCATCGCTAGCCAGCACATCAACGACAAACCAGTCCAACATCAATCGTTTAAAACAAAAGAAACCGCCGACGAAGCATATAGACAATCATACAAGGTGATGGCAATGAAAGAACCAGTCAAGAATCAAGAGCAACAATCGCAGAAACTCGTCATGAAGATACCCAGTATCAAGAGCATCCTAACCACCAAGGAAAAAGAAGAGCAATTAAAACCAATCTTTCAGAAGTTCATATCCAACTGGGATATGATAATCAACTATGAAGAAAAACACACGACCATGGGTTTCTACCCCGTCAGTCGAGGAGGACCCAAAGCAGTAATCACAGAAGAAGCATCACCGGAACTCTCTTTTGAGTTCCATCAATATGGATTAATCGACACTATCTACACTACAACCATGAAGGTATTTGAATACTTCCCACAAAGAATGAGGAACGTAATCAGAAGATATCTCGAGCTATTCGCCAAGGAACGAGAAATATTTCTCAAGTATACAAGCAGCTACCCCGTATTCGATCAAGACAAACTATTGATCGGATCAAAGGCAGTTATCCTCATGGGAGTATCAAACCATGATTACCCTACCAGAGATGACCTACGAGACTATGAGAAAAACCCAGACTACCAAGTAAAGGGTCTTCTTGCAGTATGCAGAGCATTAACCAAAATTGAACCAGAAAGTCATATTAAAGTCAATTACAGCAGCCCCGATGCCATCATCACCAGCAAAACAAGAGGAAACATGACCAAAGAAGAATGGGCAATCATAACAGATAAAATTAAGGAATTCACGGAAATTAATGGGAATATGTCAGCTCTTCCCATTCAAATCAAGAAACAGTTATGCAATAAGCTTACTATCTATGAAGACCATCTCTATGAGTGGTGTGCATCAACTGACGAAGACATTAGTGGACCAGCAGACCAAAACTGACAGAAGCATGTGAAGAAAAAAGGAATCAAACAAAAAAGTCGTACATTATTGTATTTTATCAGCTTTTCTTATCGTCTCACGCACTTTCTTTTGACGTGTTAGCTTTACGTCCCTGTTGCACAAACGTAAGCAATGATGTTCTTGCATCTCCTCTTAGCTCTATATAAGAGCAAGAGTTTGCAATGAAATAAGGCAGAACGAGTTTGGCCATAAAAATTGCCTGTTTTTTATGGATCCACTGATCCTGGAGGCCACAATCATCTTCAACATAATCAAGCGCACGAAGAGCAGCTACAATCATCAAAAAATCATCAAAAAACTCAAAGTTTCATAAGAAGAACAAGTCAGGTATGTCCAGTAATCCTAGTTCAAGTTATTTTGATTATTTAAACAAAAACGATAATGAAAATTACTTCTTAGATGGTGTTATAGACGTTAAGAAAATTAGAGAAAAAACTAATTTTACTATTTCAGAAACTCAAAATTTTATCGCTAAGTCTTTTTTATCAAAACTCTTTGATAGAGAAAACATTATTAAATACGGTAAAATGATAGGAGAAGTAGCAGTCCCTATTGATCAAACTAAGGGCGATTTTCTAATCCAAGTAATAAACAAAGAACAAATTAGAAAAAGATTAGACAAACTTAGATCAGAAGAACGAAATAAAATAGCTTATATTCATATTAGTACAATTCAAATTATACTAAAATCAACCATGAAAATAGGAATTGACGCACCAATGGAATTAGAAATTCGTGATGATAGACTCATTAATGAAGAAGAGAGTATTATTGCCAAAGGAACGGGAAATTTAGGAGTAGGAATAATTAAATTTGATATTAACTTACAACAAGGATTGAGTCTGGCAGATGGTAACCTTGACTCTTCTATCATTATAAAATACGAATTAAAAAGAGAAAATTTTATAACTTATCAAATAAACTATGCATTAACAAATAGTCACCACAGCTTAACCTTCAAAAATAAAGAAGTAATTACTATAGAAGATTTATTTAAACCTTTAATTCAACTAGAAGCACCACTAAAGACTGTTAAAATAGAACCTAGTCGACCATCGATAACCCAAGATAAAAAATGATTAATTAAAACACAATCAGAAAGAATTAGGCATATCCTAGTAATTGAACAAAATTTAGAACAAGAAGAGATAACCAATAATCAAGTAAATAAATTAATTGAAGAGATAACCAATAATCAAGTAATAAATAAGTTGGAAAAATTGCAACATTCAATAGCAAATCTAGAGAATAAAATCTAAATATGTCTACTAATTATCAAATAAATAAATTAATTGAAGGAATAGATTCTATAAATCTCACTTCAATAAATTATATCAGTACGGTCACACAAGAACTAACTTATTTTGCTTCAGAAATCGTAGAGGAACAAACGAGTATTGGAACCATAGAAACATTAGAAGAAGCTATCTCCAAAATCGAATTAATTACTGATATAATAACTAGCCTAAATAAAATAAAATAAAGATTACTAAATCAGTAAGACATTTATGAAAATATAACAGAATAAAATAACATGATATCAGAGCCGATCAGACCGATCAACTACCCGAATTATTTAGTTCACACAGACTGGGATATTAATTCATATACTTTTGGATATCAGTTAGAATATACTAACAAAAAACTCAGTTAGCAGATTAGCCGGGTTGCCTCCAACGAATCCTGTAAACAGAGTAATGACGAAGTGAACGAATTGAATTCTAAAACGGCCAGTTGAAAAATAATCTGGAATCTTTTGATTTTGCCATAACCCAATAATCTGACGCCGCCGGATAAGGTTATGCGTTAACCAAAATTGTGGATTAAGGTTGTTTTATACTCGGATTGCGACAAAAAAGCAGGTGATGCGGTGCCTTATCCCTTGAAGTGATCTTACTCGTCCCCTCGTGACCACCAGTCCACCACGATTCTCTACTTTCTTCCCAAGCCCCCACTCGCTTTCTCGCCATATCAGCAAATCACCCCTTTTCTGGGTTTCTCCTGTTGCTTTTCCACTCATTCTCAGTCATCACTCCATCTAAACTTGTGTTTTTGGAGGTTCGAACTAGTAGGGAGAGAGATGGGTTCGCAAGGAGATGTGAGGAATGGAGAAGAAGAGAACATGGCAGCTTGGCTGGTCGCAGTCAACACCCTCAAGATTCAACCTTTCAAGCTCCCTTCACTGGGTTCTTCTTTATCTCTTACTTATTCCTCTGGTTTCTTTTACTGCAAACTACTGATATTCCTCTGCAAATAGGATGATAACACATAAACCCCCTTTCGGCCTAGTGGGTTTTGCTTTGATTGAATTAATTAACTTCTCTACACTCTTCTAGTTGATTCTGTGAAATTTAGCGAAAGATATGAACACTCGATTTAACGTGGTTCTTCCTCACGTTGTGTGAGGCTTACATCCACGGTGGAAAGATGATACTTTTATTTCATATGGTGGCCATAGGCCTTACATGTATATTTATACCCTAATGCATCAATCTCTTCTAGGGTACAAGTCGGTTTGCAACTACGTGCAGGAGAAGAACAATTTGGTGGCTGCACTACGTGCGTCTCAAGGACGCCTGCATGGGCCGCATGGCCTGTCCTGGGCTCGCCAGTCTTCTGGCCCAATACTCCCCCGCAAGGTGAGGCGTGGAGATCTCGAACGCTCAGCTTGGAAAGAAGGAAGTGAAAGCGATCCGCACCAAGACCCTTGGTGAGAATGTCGGCAAGCTGGTACTCTGTTCGAACCTTGACAGGAAGAATATCACCGGACTGTACTCGTTCACGAACAAAATGGCAATCCATTTCCACATGTTTGGTGCGCTCGTGGAAAACGGGATTATTGGCGATGTGTAGAGCAGCCTGATTATCACAATGAAGAGGAGTAGGCGTGGACTGCGGGACGCCGAGCTCTTGAAGTAGCCAGCGTAACCAAATGAGTTCACTAACAGTACTAGCCATTGCCCGATATTCAGCCTCGGCGGAAGAACGGGCTACAACCCTTTGTTTCTTCGTTCGCCAGGAAATGGGGGCACCTCCCAAACTAACAAAATAGCCTGTAGTAGAACGACGAGTCTGTTCACAACCACCCCAGTCAGCATCACAATAAGCAGTAAGACGGAGGGGATTATCCCTCGGAAAAAACAAGCCCTGTCCTGGAGAGGATTTGAGATAGCGCAGAATGCGGAAGACTGCATCAAGGTGCTGCTGGGTAGGAGCATGAACAAACTGACTCAACAGGTTGACAGCATAAGTGATATCCGGGCGAGTAATCGTCAAATAAAGCAGACGACCCACGAGGCGACGGTAGACGGACGGATCAGGAAGGGGAGCAGTACTCACACGAGTTAAGTGATGATTCTGCTCAATAGGAAATGCACTAGGACGTGTACCCTGAACACCTGCATCTTCAAGGATGTCCAGTACATATTTACGTTGACTGAGCACCACCCCGCTAGCAATACGCGCTAGCTCAATACCCAAGAAATAACGAAGTTGGCCAAGATCCTTAATGCTGAACCTGTCGTGGAGGAATGTCTTGACTCGATCGATAAAGACTAAGTCATTACCCGCTAGAATAACATCATCGACATAGATTAGGGCAGTGACAAAGGTGTGTCCATGCCGATAGATGAATAGCGAGGCATCAGCAGCTGAAGACCGGAAACCAAATTCACAAAGTGCAGAGGTGAATTTCTGGTACCAGTTGCGGGAGGCCTGACGAAGTCCATAGATAGATTTGTGTAACCGACAAACCCGTGTATCACCAGGCTTGCGAAAACCCTCAGGAATTTCCATGTAAACTTCCTCCTGAAGATCACCGTGAAGGAAGGCGTTATTGACATCCAGCTGATGAAGATGCCAGCCCTTACTAACTGCCACGGCGATAAGGCATCGAACTGTGACCAGCTTCGCTACAGGAGCAAAAGTATCATGGAAGTCAAGGCCTTCAATCTGGGTGTAACCTTTGGCGACAAGTCGCGCCTTGTATCGTTCTATGGTCCCGTCAGGAAAGAACTTAATTTTGTAGACCCATTTCGAGGCAATAGCACGCTTCCCAGGGGGAAGGAAAACGAGGCTCCAAGTCCCATTTTGCTCGAGGGCAGCAACCTCACGAGCCATAGCTTCCCGCCAGCAGGCTTCTCGGACTGCTTGATAGAAATAGCGGGGCTCGTCAAAGCGGGTTTGAGCTGCAAGAAACGAGCGATAGGGACCTTTAAAACGTGAATAATCAACAAAAGCAGCAAGAGGATAATTGACAGGGTGAGAGACACTTCCCTGTGCATTATTTGATGTGAACTGAGTGTCATAAGTCGCCAGATGCTTTGGGCGAAACCGTTCACGATCGCCGCGTCGCAAAACTGGAGCTGGACTTGCGGCAGCTGGACTTGGATGTGGGCCTGTCGTGGAGTGAAGAGGCCCAGAAGTATCGGTTCCGTCGCTGGTAGAGGAGGACGGCCCAGGGGACGCGAGAGTGGGTCCTGGTGTCCTGGGCTCGGAAGTGGACCCAGAATCCGCAGCAGCAGCCGGCCCATTAGGCGAAGCAGACTCAGGCGGCCCAGAATCCACAGTCGCAGGAGGCCTGTTAGGCGAGTTAGGCTCGGGCGATCCAGGAGGGACTTCAGCGTCACCATGGAGAGGAGAATCAGAAGCAGTGTCATCATGAGGTGAGATCGCTGGTCTGGGTATCCAGTGAAGCTCATGACGAGTATCATCCTGCATGGGAAATAAATTCTCGTGGAATTGAACATCACGAGAAGTAATTAATCGTCGAGATAATAAATCGAAAATGCGATAACCCTTCTGCGAAGCTGCATAACCCAAGAAAACGCCAGCACGACCACGATCCGCAAATTTATCGAGATGAGCATGAGTGTCTTTGTAGTACACCAAACATCCGAAAACTCGCAGATGATGATAAGGGGCAACCTTGCCGAAAAGTAACTCATGTGGACTTTTGCCGGTGGCTTTAGTTGGAAGCCTGTTGATGAGGTACACAGCTGTGAGAACACATTCTCCCCAGAATTTGATAGGTAAGCTGGCTTGAAATCTCAGTGCTCGAGCCGTCTCCAGGATGTGACGGTGTTTCCTTTCGACTACACCGTTCTGCTGAGGAGTGTCTGTGCAGGACGTTTGTAGTAAAATGCCTTCATGAGCATAAAAGGCCTTCAAATCATCTGTGTTGAACTCATGTCCATTGTCAGCCTGAATGCGTTTAACAGAACATCCAAACTGCGTACGAATCATGTGACAAAATTGCATCAAAGATTTACCAACGTCAGACTTATATCTCAATAGATAAACCCAAACTCCACGTGTGAAATCATCAACGATAGTCAAAAAATAATGGGCTCCACTAAGAGATGCAACCTTATATCCTCCCCAAATATCAACATGAATAAGTTCAAACTTGGACCTTGTCTTAATCGAGCTAGAAACAAAAGGTTCTCGTGTCTGTTTGGCCCTCAAACAAGAATGACAGGGTCCTTTATTACTGAAAGATACACCCAACAATGAACTGAGATATGTAAGCTTATCAAAAGAGGGATGCCCCAGTCGAGCATGCCACGTAGTCTCGGATACTGCAAGTCGTCGCTGTGCTGCACAAGCCTGCGTCCGTCCATCTCCGAATAAACGCAAGTAGTACAAGCCATTGCGCAACTCACCCTTCCCAATCAACTTCCTGGAATGTAAGTCCTGAATGATGCAGAAATTTTCAAGAAAAATCAAAGCCACACGATTATCCTTGGTTAGTCGACTCACAGAGATGAGATTACATCGAAACTCAGGCACATGTAGTACACGGTCCAGGGTAAGACCATCCTGGAGCTTTACTGAACCCACATGCTTAACCGGTATGCTATCCCCATTTGGGATTCGAACAGGCTGCCCATTAGTATGTAATTCCTTGCTAGACAACATTGATTCATCCATAGTGATATGCTCATTGCAGCCAGAATCCAATAACCACTCAGAATCATAAGAAATCATACCTGCCATATGAGCTGCCGGGTCTTCTGATGGCTTTCCCGAATAGCCGAAAAATTGCTTGAGTTGTTCAAGCTGTGCGTTGGTGAAACCAGTAACTGGGCTTTGCTCCGAGTCCACTTGTGAAGCCTTGGGCTCACGTTGAGAGCCTTCCCGGTCCTGTCGATTTCGTCGCTGTTGAGGACGATCGCCTTGTCTTTCCCGTGTGCGATATCCGGGGGGATAACCAACAAGCTCATAGCAAGCTTCGCGCGCATGGCCTTGACGATGACAGTGAGTACACCTTGGCCTCTCGCGCTCTCGTTGCTCCCCCGTACCGCGCGACTCTCCTGACCCACGCGAGGAACGATCGGCGTCGCCTTTGGCAGCAAAAACGGCAGCTTCAGGCGATGATTTGCGGTTTTGAGTAATAGTTTTCTGTTGCTCTTCATTCAGTACAATATGAAAAGCTTCAGCCAGCGTCGGGGTCGGCTTCATGGCCAAAATCTGGGTGCGAACCGCACCGAATGCATCGTCGAGGCCCATGAGGAAATCAAACAGGCGAGCACTCTCCTGTTGTTCGCGAGCCTTGCGAGATACACCACAGGTACACAGGCCACAGGTGCACACCGGCGGTGGAGTTATGGCCGCTGCCTCTTCCCAGAACGATCGTAAACTGGTGTAGAAGGCTGAAACGGTGTGCTTTTCTTGCTGAAGTAAACTGATCAAGCGCCGCAATTCGTAGGCACGGGAGGAGCTGCCTTGACCGAAGCGAGCGCGAAGATCCGTCCAAATCTCCGTGGCGTGCTCAGCGAAGCGGATACTGCTTCGAATTTCCTTATCCATGGATGTCTTCAACCATCCCTTCACCATTGCGTCGCAGCGTACCCAAGCTGCCTGCGCCTTAGGATCCGTTGGTTTGGGAATAGTGCCGTCAACGAACCCGTACTTATCTTTTGCAATAAGAGCATCCTTCATATCAAGGGACCATTCCCCATAATTGGATGCAGTAAGAACCTCCCCAACAAGCATGTTGCCGGGGCTATCGGAGCTGTGCAGCTGAAGAACCGACGGAAGGACGTCGTCGGTGGAGCTGGAAGAGACTCCCTTTTGCTTGTTGTCCTCGTCGCCGATAGTCATGGCGGCAAGATACTGTAAGACAAAAAACTGGAGCTTAGAGCTCTGATACCATGTGAAATTTAGCGAAAGATATGAACACTCGATTTAACGTGGTTCTTCCTCACGTTGTGTGAGGCTTACATCCACGGTGGAAAGATGATACTTTTATTTCATATGGTGGCCATAGGCCTTACATGTATATTTATACCCTAATGCATCAATCTCTTCTAGGGTACAAGTCGGTTTGCAACTACGTGCAGGAGAAGAACAATTTGGTGGCTGCACTACGTGCGTCTCAAGGACGCCTGCATGGGCCGCATGGCCTGTCCTGGGCTCGCCAGTCTTCTGGCCCAATAGATTCGATTCTAAAGTTGAAAGCTTTGTGCTGTCTTAGGACCGCATGATGTTAGAGTAAGGATGAAAGCTGTTGGAATCTGTGGGAGTGATGTTCACTACCTTAAGGTCACCTTCTTTGGTCCGTTATTCCTTGATTATTACGATTGATTAATACCCGCATTAGAGAGGATTGTAACTGGATTCCCCACTACCTAGTTTCTCCCCTATCAAGTGGGAACTCTATTCTGAATTGGGACCAAGTTGTTGAAAAAATGGATGATTTGTCCTTACCATCGTCCTGTCAATCTTTTTGCAGACCTTGAGATGTGCACATTTTGTGGTGGAAGAACCAATGGTGATTGGCCACGAGTGTGCTGGAATCGTGGAGGAGATTGGTAGTGAAGTAACCCATCTTGTTCCGGGGGATCGCGTAGCACTAGAGCCCGGGATCAGCTGCTGGAGATGCAGCTACTGCAAACAAGGCAGCTACAATCTCTGTCCCGAGATGAAGTTCTTCGCAACTCCACCTGTTCATGGCTCTCTGGCCAATCAGGTCGATTGACCCACAAGCCACCATCTCCTGGCTAGGTCAATGTTCCACCAAAGCTCCAATCTTGACTCACCATTCCTTCGCTTGCAGGTGGTGCATCCAGCAGACCTTTGTTTCAAGCTGCCGGAGGATATCACCTTGGAGGAAGGAGCAATGTGTGAACCCTTGAGCGTTGGGGTCCATGCTTGTCGTCGAGCCAATGTTGGTCCCGAGACTAATGTCTTGATCATGGGAGCTGGGCCCATTGGCCTCGTCGCGCTGCTGGCTGCTCGTGCTTTCGGGGCACCAAGGGTTGTTATTGTGGATGTGGACGAGTTTCGCTTATCTGTTGCCAAGGATCTTGGTGCTAGTGAGACTGTTAAAGTTTCTACCAATGAGGAGGTTCTTCGATCTCCTTTTTTCCCCCACCCTCAAGGCTACTTATCAGGTTAAACAAATTTCTGACAACTAAAAGGGCCGAATTGTTAATGCAGGATGTGGCTGGAGAAGTGGAACTGATAAAGAAAGCCATGGGAGAATCAGTGGACATAACTTTGGATTGTGCAGGCTTCAACAAGACCATGACGACTGCACTGAATGCCACGAGGCCAGGTGGCAAAGTGTGTCTCGTGGGAATGGGTCACAATGAGATGACAGTGCCACTCACTCCTGCAGCAGCAAGGTCAGTAATCCCTTGTTTCGTAAGTTTGTCGTTTGATCTGGAATTTAGTTGGAACTTGGAGTTGGCTTGCGACTCAAGGAAGTGAAACATGTGCAGGGAGGTAGACGTGGTTGGCGTGTTTCGGTACAAGAACACATGGCCGCTGTGCATAGAGTTCTTGAGGAGTGGGAAGATAGATGTGAAGCCGCTGATAACTCACAGGTTTGGCTTTTCACAGAAGGAGGTTGAAGATGCGTTTGAGACCAGCGCTCGTGGTGGGTCTGCCATCAAAGTCATGTTTAACCTCTGAGCATTGAAGAAATATTGAAACGAGAGAGAAAAGGCTTACATATGATTATACAGGTCCTATTTTTTCTTTTTCTTTTTCAAAAGATAATCATATATTGATACTAAAAAAGATCATTACACCATTTGCCGCAACAAAATCAAAAGAACGACTCGCTATCGGGTACAAAGAAAGGGCCTTTCTAGCCACCAAATGGGCTACCCTATTACTACGCCGACCAACGAACCGAACACTGAACCCTGAACTCTCAGCCAAGTATAGCAACACCTCGCGAAAAATAGAGCCCGCCAGACCATCACTCCCCTGAGCCAAGAGAAGCCTATCAATCACAACCTTCGCATCCCCCTCAAAGCGAACATCGAGACAGCCCAAGCGGCGACACCAAAGGATAGCCTCCCGGAGGGTTAAAAGCTCAACCAGCATTGGAGCATCAACCTCCGGGAAATTCACCCCCCTCGCATCAACAATCACCCCATCCGGGCCTAACAACACCATTCCGCCAGCCGAATGAGACCCTAACCGCACCGCTCCATCCCATCTACAGATGAGACCATCCTGTCCGCCACCAGGGGGCTCCCCAGCAGTCCCCAAAGATGGGCCATGCCGCACTACCTCATGGGGGATCGACTCCCACTACCTCACCTGCTGATGATACTGCCGAAGCAAAGCTGGGAACCCAAACTGTTTGCCTTCAAAGACGACCCAGTTACGGGATTTCCAGATTCGCCAGAGCACCGCAACAATTGCCATAACCTGGGAGGGGCCCTGCACAATGCCCAGGAGATTCTTAAGGAACATAGAAAAAGCATGACGAGGCAAACCCTGACCCACATGCTCTAGCCCCGCTAAATCCCACAAAGCACGCGCCACAGGGCAGTCGAGAAAGAGGTGTTCCATAGTTTCTGGCACCCCCCAACACACCAGACAACGTGGATGAACATCAACCTTCCGCCCAATAAGAGCCTCCGTCGTGGGTAGGAACCTGTGCAGAACTTGCCATAGAAACACCTTCAGTTTAGGCGGAATAGCCAAGCTCCACAACCTCTTCCAGCTCTTCCGGTCCATCCAACTAACCGTAGGTCGCCAACCCCCAGATTGTTGATCCAGTCGCACGGCCAGGTGGTAGGCCGATTTAACTGTGAACAGCCCATCACCCGTCTCATGCCAGACAATCCTATCAACAATCTCCCGCCGAGGCAAAGGAATCTTCCGGATAGCACGACAGATCTCAGGAGGGAACCAGTCCCTAAGCTTCTCCAGTAACCAGCATCCCTCAGTCGGACAAATGAAATCAGCCACCTTCAGCTCCTCACCCTCCGCCAAGACTCGAGGATTAAACATCGGAGGATCCGGGTGGAGCGAGGGAACCCAATTATCTGACAAAGCCGCAACCCCGCGCCCATCACCGATCTGCCATCTAATCCCCTGCGTCAACAGCTCCCTCCCATACAGAATACTCTGCCAACCCCAGGAAGGACGAGAACGGGGAGTTGCTGAGAGGAAGTCCCCCCGGGGGAAATACTTCCCTTTATACACTTGAGCAAGAAGGGACTGGGGATCAGTCATGATTTGCCAACCAATCTTAGCCAGAAGAGCTTGGTTGAAGAACTCGAATCTGCGAAACCCCATTCCCCCCTCATGCTTACTCTGACACATCCTACGCCAAGACATCCAACGAATGCGGGAGTGCCCATCCTCCACCCCCCCCCCCCACCAAAATCGCGCAACCAGTCTATCCAACGTACGACAAAGGGTTACCGGCAATTTAAAGCAGGACATCACATGCAGCGGTAACGCAGAAGCAACAGACTTGATCAGAGTTTCTCTTGCTGCCGCGGACAACGCCCGTTGGGCCCAACCCTTGAGTCTGGCAATCAACCTTTCCTCCACGAAGCGAAACGTGGCCATCTTGGACCTGGAAATGAGGGACGGTAAGCCCAGATACTTATCATGGACCCCCACCGCCCCCACTCCCAGCACTTGAGCAAGAAATTCCTGATCAGGCCCGCTAATGTTCTTACTGAAACAAACTGCCGACTTCCCCAAATTCACTCTCTGCCCACTTAGCTCCTCATACTCGTTCAAAACCACAATCAGATTCTCACATTGCTCAAGCGAACCTCGCAGGAATAAATACGAGTCATCCGCAAAGAACAAATGGGAGATCCGAGGAGCTCGAGGGGCGACTTTCACCCCCTCCAACTTCCCTTCCGAAATGTCCTTGCGAATGAGAGCCGCAAATCCCTCAGTGCAAAGAACAAACAAGAGAGGTGACAGCGGGTCCCCTTGCCTTAACCCACGGGAAGAGCGAAAGAACCCCGCCGGAGAACCATTCATTAGAATTGAGAACGAAGATGAGCTAAGACACTCCCTAATCCAGCCAATCCAGGTTCGGTTGAATCCTACCTTGGCCAGAATCGCAAGAAGAAAGGACCATTCGACTCTATCATAGGCCTTTTCCATGTCAACCTTCAGAGCCATGTATCCCTTCTTTCCTCGATTTTTAATTTTTAGGTAGTGCATTAGTTCATGCCCCAACAACACATTCTCCACAATCTGGCGCTCCCGGATAAAAGCATTCTGCCCTTCCGAAACAATCCGGGGGAGGAACGGGGCCAGCCTCTCAGTCATAATCTTAGTAATCACCTTGTACACAAACTGGCACAGACTAATAGGCCTCAATTGTCGAATGGTCTCCACATTATCAACCTTTGGGATCAGCGTAAGCCACGTGTGGTTGAAACTGCGGAGAATTGTCCCAGACTGGAAAAAAGAGCAAACCGCCTCAACCACCGAAGCGCCCACAATATCCCAGAAGGACTTGAAGAACTTACCAGTGAATCCATCCGATCCCGGGGCCTGCTTAGAGCCCATTGAAAAGACTGTTCGCCGAACCTCATCCGGGAGGACCGGCGCAATGAGCTGAGCATTCATATCATCAGTAACTCTCCGAAGCATCGGTAGGGCATCAACCCTGGTCCGCATATCAGGAACTTGATTTTCCGAGGTGAAAAGGGTCTGGTAAAAATCAGTGGCCATATCCGCCTTTCCCTTTTCATCCGTAATCCAATCCCCAGTGTCGTTCCGTAACCCCTCAACATAATTTCGTTTCCGCCTAGCCCGAGTAACTGTATGGAAATAGGAGGTATTCTGATCCCCTCTTCTCAACCATCGCACCCTAGACTTTTGTTGCCAATACAATTCTTCTGCTTCCCACTGACGACTCAACTCACTCTCCAGACTTCGAACCTCGTCCCAATTCACCGGGGACTCCTGCTTGAAGCGATCAATCTCCGATTGGAGAGTTCGAATATTCCGAAGTGAGTTAGTCGTACCAGCTCGGCTCCAATCATATAAGAGGTGTCGCAGCCGCTTCAACCGGGTCCAAAGCTTAAACATGGGGGACCCCTCAACTTCCTCCTCCCGCCAAACATACTCAACCATGGCTCTCACCTCCGGGTTCTCCGCCCATCGAGCATCAAACCGGAACAGAGGACGACAGAGCCGCGGGTAAGCTTTATCAGACAACAGCAACGCCCTGTGGTCTGACCCCTGATCCGTAAAATGTTTGACGATAGTCTCGGGGAAAAGGTCAATCCAATTCTGAGAACAAAGGGCACGATCAAGCCTTGCACGAATACAAGCCGGGCCCATTCTTTTGTTCGTCCAAGTGAATTGATCCCCCTGGACTGCCCGACATTCCACGGATTACCCCCATCCTTCTCCCCCGCATGGAGGGTAGAGTTAAAATCTCCAATCACCACAAACGGCAACTGAATCCCCTCACAAATCTGGCGCAGGGTAGCAAGCTGGGTGGCACGAATCGACTCCACACAACTAATATAAACACCAATCACCACATAGGAAAAAGAAATTTCATTAATACGAACACAAATTACAAAATCCGAATGAAAAAACACCGAAGCATCAACTCCGGTGGACCAAGCCACAACTAGACCACCAGATGCATCGACTGCATCCACAAAGTAACAATCCGAAACCTGAAAACCTAACCCCCGCAAACGACGGGAGACGACACGCCTACGAGATCTAGTTTCCGAAAAGAAAACAAGATCCGGTTTATTAGACCGAACTAGACCCACAGCAGTCTGGAATGTGAGGGAGGGTCCAATTCCCCGCACATTCCACGCCAAAACCTTCATTTATCTTCTTGGGGCCACTCCCGGCTGGCTTCCTCCACCGATTTCAGCTCCTCATTCTCGATTTGTTCCACAAATTGTCTCTTCACCGTAGTATTTTCCACATCCTCACCAGCAATTTTATCCCACGAACGCTTCCGCCCTCCCATCCCCATCACTAGTGCATTCGAGCCATACTCATCAATCTGAGCCGGAATCTCAATAGCGCTAGCTAGGTTACCCACTTCCTCAACTCCTTCGGCAACCATGTTGCCAGATTCAAATGCTTGGACTACCTGTTTCACCCTGCCGGTCAAGATTGGGTGATTGACCAACCCCGGCGCGCGAGGACCCCGAGATCGGATTTCCAACTGCTCCATTCCTCCATCGGATAGAGTGGCATCCGAATCCTCTTCCAAAGAACCCTTATTGGAAAAATTTGGCTCCCACTCCTCCGATTCTTCCTCAACCAACACCATCTTCCCTTTCCTTAGGCGAGCAGCCCGCTGCGCATCGTCCACCAGCGCCGTATCTTCCGCACCCACCTGCTTGGCCGGCTGTTTCCCATCTTTTGGACGAGCATTCACCGGCGAGATAGCAACAGGAGGGATGGCAGCAGCCAAATCTTTGGCGCAAGGGTTTATGCCCTTACCTGCCCCCTTGTCCACCAATCCTCCCGCCCCACCACCAGCAGTCACTATCGGAGCATCATCCTCCGACTCCTCCAGCAATAGCTTGCGGCGCCTAACTGCTTGCTACAGCTGGGTCTGGACCAAGTCCTCTGCCTTGCTCGTACCCCTCTTTCCTCTCTTCTTCCCCGCCATTCCCCTAGTCTCCCAGCCCCGATCTGCTTCCACCTTCTGTTGCCCACCAGCTTGTAGCGGAGCCGCTCGAGTATGATCGCTGGTCGCAACCTGCAGCCCCGCTAGACGGCGTGTCTTCGACAAGCGCGGCAAGCCCTCCACTCCAGCCGAGGGAGCAACAACACGCGATA